TGGCAATTTTTGGGTGTTTTTGGGGGCGTTTTGGCGGATTTTGGGGATTTTGTTTTTAGTTTTTTTTGGGGGATTTTGGGATTTTTTTTGAGGTGTTTTTGGGGGATTTTGGGGATTTTTTTGAGATGTTTTTGGGGGGATTTTGGGGATTTTTTTGAGGTGATTTTGGGGTTTTTTGGGGGGGGATTTTGGACCTTTTTTGGGGGGATTTTGCGGATTTTTTTTGGAGATTATTTTGGGGATTTTTGGGGGATTTTGGCGATTTTTGGGTGGGCGTTTTGGCGGTTTTTGGAGCTTTTTTCGGAGATTATTTTGGCGATTTTTTTGCGGTTTTTTGGGGTTTTTCGGGTGGATTTTGGAGTTTTCCGGGGGGGGCTTCGGTGACGTCACCGGGGGTCCCTGATGACGTCAGTGATGACGTCAGCGATGACGTCACCCACCGAGAAGAGCATGTTCTTCTTGTCCTGGTTGACGGCGCGGGGGTCGGGCACCGGGTCCGTGTGCTTGATCACCGACACCGACTCGCCTGCGCCGGCGCAGACCGGTTCAGACCGGTTTGGACCAGTTCAAACCAGTACAAACCAGTATAAACCAGTTTAAACCATTATAAACCAGCATAAACCACTATAAACCACTATAAACCAGTATAAACCAGTATGAACCAGTACAAACCAGTATGAACCAGTCTGGGACGCAGCAAAGCCACCCTCAATTTCCACTGAGATCCCAGTATAAACCAGTACAAACCAGTTCAAACCAGTATAAACCAGTTTAAACCAGTATAAACCAGTAAAAACCAGTATAAACCAGTATAAACCAGCATAAACCACTATAAACTGCTATAAACCATTATAAACCAGTATAAACCAGTATAAACCAGTATAAACCACTATGGACCAGTATGAACCAGTCTGGGACACAGCAAAGCCACCCTCAATTTCCACTGAAATCCCAGTATGGACCAGTTTAAACCAGTATAAACCAGTTTAAACCACTATAAACCAGTTTAAACCAGTATAAACCAGTACGAACCAGTATAAAAATCCCCTTCAACCTCAGTTTCCCCCCGTTTTTAACCCTTTAATCCCCTCCCAGTCCCTCCCAGTCCCTCCCAGTTTGTCCCAGTCCCTCCCAGTCCCTCCCAGTTTGTCCCAGTCCCTCCCAGTTTGTCCCAGTTTGTCCCAGTCCGGTCCCAGCCCCCTCCCAGCCCAAACCAGTCCAAACCAGTACGAACCAGTAAGGATGGACTGGTCGACGCGCAGCGTGGTGGATTTGATGGAGATGATGCGGATGTCGGCCGGGACCTTGTCCCCAACTGGGAACGGAGCGGGGTCAAACTGGGACAAACTGGGACAGACTGGGACAAACTGGGAGGGACTGGGAGGGAACTGGGAGGAACTGGGATGGAACTGGGATGGAACTGGGTTATACTGGGAGGGACTGGGAGGAACTGGGAGGGAACTGGGATGGAACTGGGATGGAACTGGGATGGAACTGGGATGGAACTGGGTTATACTGGGAGGGACTGGGACAAACTGGGAGGGAACTGGGAGGGAACTGGGAGGGAACTGGGTTATACTGGGAGGGACTGGGAGGGAACTGGGTTATACTGGGAGGGAACTGGGATGGAACTGGGTTATACTGGGAGGGACTGGGACAAACTGGGAGGGAGTCAAAGGTTCTTTGTCACCCCAATGACCCTTGGGTGACCCCTGGGTGTCCCCAAGGTCCCCAAGGTCCCAGTGACCCCCGTGACCCCTGTGACCCCCGTGACCCCTGTGACCCCTGGGTGTCCCCATGACCCCTGTGACCCCGGTGACCCCTGGATGTCCCCAATGTCCCCAATGTCCCCGTGACCCCGGTGACCCCAGTGACCCCGGTGACCCCTGGGTGTCCCCATGACCCTTGTGACCCCTGGATGTCCCCAATGTCCCTGGTGTCCACCTTGACCCTGATGTTCCTCAACGTCCTCCTGACCTCAATGTCCCCAATGTCCCTTTAGCCCCTGGATGTCCCCAATGACCCCGTGACCCCAGTGACCCCAGTGACCCCTGGATGTCCCCAATGTCCCCAATGACCCCGTGACCCCTGGGTGTCCCCAATGTCCCCCAATGTCCCTGATGTCCCTGGTGTCCACCTTGACCCTGATGTTCCTCAACGTCCTCCTGACCTCAATGTCCCCAATGTCCCTTTAACCCCTGGATGTCCCCAATGACCCCGTGACCCCAGTGACCCCTGGGTGTCCCCATGACCCCGGTGACCCCGCTGTCACCTGCCACCTCGGCGATGTCCCCCGGGACGAGGTCGCGGGCCTTGATCCTCTGCACGGCCTTGCGGTCGCTGCGATAGACTTTGCCCATCTCGGGCTCGTACTCCTTCAGCGCCTCGATGGCGTTCTCGGCGTTCCGCTCCTGGGGGGACATTGGGGACATCATGGACACCTTGGGGACATCATGGACACCTTGGGGACATCCTTGGGGACACCTCGGAGACATCACAGACATCATGGAGACACCACAGGGACACTGTGAGGGACACAATGGCCTCGATGGCGTTCTCGGCGTTCCGCTCCTGGGGACACCAAAGGGACGTTGGGGACATTGGGGACATCATGGACACCTTGGGGACATCATGGACACCTTGGGGACATCCTCGGGGACACCTTGGAGACATCACAGACATCATGGAGACACCACAGGGACATTGTGAAGGACACAATGGACGCTCCTTCAGCGCCTCGATGGCGTTCTCGGCGTTCCGCTCCTGGGGACACCACAGGGACGTTGGGGACATTGGGGACACCATGGACACCTTGGAGACATCATGGACACCTTGGGGACATCCTTGGAACAGGTTTGGGACATTGGGGACACCACAGAGACACCACAGGGACGTCACAGGGACATTGGGGACATCATGGACACCTTGGGGACACCATGGACACCTTGGGGACATCACAGACATCATGGAGACACCACAGGGACATTGTGAGGGACACAATGGACGCTCCTTCAGCGCCTCGATGGCGTTCTCGGCGTTCCGCTCCTGGGGGGACATTGGGGACATCTTGGGGACATTGGGGACATCATGGACACCTTGGGGACATCTTGGGGACATCCCTGGGGACATCTTGGGGACATCCCTGGGGACATCTTGGGGACATTGGGGACACCATGGGGACACCACATGGACACCACAGAGACACCACAGGGACATTGTGAGGGACACAATGGACGCTCCTTCAGCGCCTCGATGGCGTTCTCGGCGTTCCGCTCCTGAGGGGACATTGGGGACACCTTGGGGACATTGGGGACATCATGGACACCTTGGGGACATCCTTGGAACAGGTTTGGGACATTGGGGACACCACAGAGACACCCCAGGGACGTCACAGGGACATTGGGGACATCTTGGAGACATCACAGACATCATGGAGACACCACAGGGACATTGTGAGGGACACAATGGCCTCGATGGCGTTCTCAGCGTTCCGCTCCTGGGGACACCAAAGGGATGTTGGGGACATTGGGGACATCATGGACACCTTGGGGACATCATGGACACCTTGGGGACATCCTTGGGACATTGGGGACACCATGGGGACACCACATGGACACCACAGAGACATCACAGGGACATTGGGGACACCTTGGGGACACCTTGGGGACCTCCTTGGGACAGGTTTGGGACATGTGGGGACACCACAGGGACATTGGGGACATCTTGGGGACATTGGGGACATCTTGGGGACACCTTGGGGACATCGTGAAGACATCAAAAGACAACACAGAGACCTTGGGGACACCAAAGGACACCACGAGAACGAA